AATGATGGATAACTAATCTAAACGAAATACTTATTCTTTCTATTTACTCTTTCCCTTTTCCTCACATTATTCTTGCTGCTATATTCTATCCACAATATTCAGCCCTTTAAAATTTCTCTTAACAACTACGATCTTGAAAAGAGTTTAGTAGTTTTAATTACGGTTAGGTATAAAGGAGAGTTAATAAGTCCAACTTACTGTTTGTGTAAATTGTTGTGATAACTCAGGCTGACCAGATAATCTAGTCTGAATAAAATCATATATTGGTGAGTAGAAGAAAATATTCAAATTGTTTCATAATATTTATTGATCGTATATCAAAATATATCGTGTTTGTTTATTTTTTGACTGATATGTTTATAATATATTAATCAATAAGTTTTGTAACAAGTGTGATCGTTGTTACATAATGTATAAATAGAGTAGTCAGGAGGTAAATGTGTTTACTTTAGATATTCATTTCACTGCAATTACCTATTCATTCAGAATGTACAGATAAAACTTCACAATATTATTTTGCTTGTTTTCGTGGCAAGTGTAATATATAATATACCACCATTTAAAAAATAACTACAATAAAAACATTAAATCTTGCTACGCTGAAAGTTCAATTTCATTCTTTTTATCCTTCTTTCCACTTCTTAGGTTATATCAGCAAACAACTCTCCATGTTGTTCCCAATGCCCATTGGTTGTTTGCTTGCCTGGCGAAATCTGTCGGCTTTTCGTCTTATTTGTTCATTGACTGGCTGGTATCTCCTGAAACTACCTGTTTATCTTACTTAGTTCACTACTTGAGAAGATTGAGCACTGATGATGAACTTATTTGCAATCCAGATCAGTTCGTTAGAAGTGCAGTATTAATACATTCCTGGCCATTACAATCGCTTATAAACATGTTAAGTCAAATTTCGAAAAGTCTCAAAACCTTGAATCAATACAAAGGCATCGCATTTTGCCCTACTCCGCTTATCAATCGCATCAATCGTTCTTTGTCTGTTTTGAATGACTTATGCCGTGTTATGACACAATGTTAGCTTACCACAATTTATTACGCATAAATCTTATGCATAAAGTCTTCTAATGACTTGTTACTACCCTTTCATTTGGTTCTGTAGCCTGATGAATTCAGTTAGGGTGTTACTATTGAGATATTCTGGCCTCAAATAATATCCTATAGAATAGAAGTAAATGCATTATTTAGTCGTTGAATAGTTATGAAACACAGAACGAACAGTGTTAACGAACCATACAGTCTAGTTGTTCATTATTGGATTTTTTTAATATAGCTACTTAATTTTTGTATCAGATCTCCACTAGGACATTGGACAGGAGAAATCCTACTAAGTGCTAGATACAGACTGAATCTCATAAACTTGTCATATGTAGGCGTTTGAATGGTTAGTGCTGGCATCTTGAAGCTATTGGTTGTATATCTTTTTAAGATGAATCATTAGTTTTAAAAACTCAAACTCAATTGTGAGTTTTAATTATTAAATCTACCATCTGCAACACAGCTTTTATTCCGTCGTGAATAGCCCTGATATTCCATTCTCAAAAGTTAGTTTGTGTTTAAGACTTAGAAAGCACTCTCAGTTTTCATGTCTAAACCGAGAACTGGTCATATCATTCTTCCTTTGGTAAGAGGCACTGAGCTCGGTGGTAAACGAAACATGATAAATCATCTCAGTTGATCATTTATATCATCAACCTTGTTAATTCGGATTATGCTTTAATCATGTAGCTTGATGGTAAATGTCGATCAACTAGATACCTAAGTTTGGAACTTGAATAAATTTAACAATACAAATTTAAAAAACCTATTTATGCTTTATTGAGTAACAAATGACTAAGACATGCGAATTTTGAGGTAGGTGGATTATCCAAATTAACAAAACCTCAATCTAGACAAAAAGTCGCTGGATCTATGAAATGTTTTATTACGACCATTCCTCTGTAACCTACAAAACATTGTCTAGTGTTAGTCGGTGTATTCAAAGGTAGCATATTTCATGATCACTTTAGTTGAAAAATGCTTACAACTGACTTACCATGTATTGCTTATTCAGTGCTTTTAGAAAAGAACTATTGGACCAGAAAGCTTTTCATCTTCGCAGGCAGTTAAGGACCGGATGTTAACTTATCCTTCATACTAGTAGTGAATAGTGAACTGCTGGGAAGCAATTAGCTCCCAGCTGAGCTGTCCGTCAGAGCGTCCCAGTCGTCTAGTTTGAGGGTAGATTACTGTTTTATCTTCTCCAACGACACCCCCACCAAATGTCGATTTATTTAACCCGTTTCCATGGTTGGTCTAGACAGCTACTCTTTTTTCGTATTTCGTTTCGTTGCCATCATTTCTACCAGTCATTTGGTAGACTTAAGTTGCCTTCGTTTTTCATCGTATTCGCACCTCGTCGTGATGAGTCCTGGAGCTTTCTTTGATTCAGTAGGCTACTGAGATTCACTGAACTATCTTAGGTTGATCATGAATATTATCACTTTTGCAGTTACAGCGCAGTGGACATTCTCAACGCTCCACTGAGATTACTTAGTCGGTTATACATCAATGGGATTTACATCTTCGTGCTGGGCTCGAAAATGTTATCGCGTAACTGTCCAATACCCAGCAACGACCATATGTACGGGTGTTCAGATTAGATGGTGACCGAGATTTAGACGCTGTTGAGAATAATCAGGGTTTTTATACCTGACCGTCCCACCGATAGCGATGCAGTTCATACGTTTTCCATCAGTGTCAGAGTTGCTAAATCAATTATTGTATTTTATGATTGAATCTGGTACTCACCGAAATCGCCGTTCATTCCGGGGAGACGGCCGCGATCTGATTGTTTAACTAGAATCTAAATACCTCGACCTAGGTATTAGTTTCCTTGACTTCGCCTACCTACTTAGTAATAAAAATCGCTAAATGACTATATTTGAGTCCCCGGTCTTTGGAAAAGTTTGTAGCGATCAATAAATCCCCAAAATAAATAGCTCTGCAAGTCTTCAACACAGGTGCTGACCTCGTTAGTTCTACTGGACACACCCTTGTTGCAGGCACTCATCCTGACCAGATCGCAAGTGGGTGCACCGTGCTACGTGTCTCTTGCAACTACTAGCCAACTTAGATCAAACGATTCTCAACACATCGATAACCTTCTACACATATCTTTGAACTCATTTACTTCTGATTTGACTAGGTTGGTAACTTTCGATTAAAAAGGTTACAGAAGATGGCAATATCAAACCTTGAATATCTGTGGCATATTCATGTTCTACTATCGACTTGACTATAACTAGTAAGAGCTGATAGGTGGAGATACGTGATTTTATGCTTCCGAGTCCTTGCAGTGCTATTTTATCGGACAATACACAATAGGCTACTGGCTGAAACATCTGGTTAAGGACTGTTGGTTCTACTTTAGAATGAAAATTTAGACTTACACCTGCAAGAATAGATGGGATTGTCAGCAAGCCTTCAAACTCCTGAAGTTTGAGCTGCACTTATTTCCTGGTCTACTTACTATAAGCTATGTAAGTGACGAGGCTTGGGTTTTGTAAGTCTAGTTTACAAATATCCGGACGTATTTTCATATACTATCTGATGACTATATACAGCAAACTTGAATCCCATGCGATGTTACTTAACCAAAGCACGCGGGATCCCCTGTATACGTGCCGTGATAGTGTCATCTAGATGAACTGGTTAGCTTACGAAATCATGTTACCTGCCACTAAAAACCATGAATCGATAAAGAATTCTGTGATATTTTCACTGTCTGACGGTTCCTATGTACTTAATTGCGTGGTTATTACGAATTCTAAGCGTATACGATCAGTCGTACTCATCTAGTTCTACCTGTCCTAAAGTGGACTACTCTGAGAATTCCCAGTTAATAAATCAATTAGTGTTTATAATTATCACTATTTCGTGAGGTTTATCCTGAGAAGCAAATACATCCTAGTTTCCGCAGTCAATCAACGTCTTTAGAATACCGCGCTCCGTTTGGCAGGACCTTGTTGTCTGGACTCAATAATAAGATACTCAAATAAAACCCAAAAGCCTGAGATCTACATGGTGGTTTGGGACTCGTTTTGTAGGTCTTTTCCAGGCAATGGACAATAACAAGATCCGTAACCTACTGTCCTCGATTTAACTCTATCGATGCCATCTCATCAGCTTCAAATGCTCATGACCTCGCTATATCAGGTATTACAATGTATTTGCTTAGCCCATTTAGGCGGATGTCAATGCAATAATACTGTAGAACGAAGACCGAAGGCGATACCAATTTGTTCAAACCTCACACTACACATCGGATATCCTGTGATGGAATGTCATTCAGAGGCTACAACTAGAAACATTAAACTCAGTCTTCATAGTTACGACATCAAGTTAACGGTGCAGGGATTGCAACATCCCGTCTGCGCTCCTTGTCTATCTTTGACAGCACATATGAAATAGACATGATTGTGTTAATAAGTCAGTCAGCTAAAGTCCCATTGCTCGCACCATAGGTATGACAGGATATATAAGTTAACCAGTAATCATAGACGAGGCTAGTTAGTGACTACTAATCAGGTTTAGCCCTGAAACTTAATATTAAGGAATCGAAGACCCCAGAATAAAACTTAGACACGCCTGAGGCATTAGATGCACAAAGTATTTATGGATACCCGATCAAAAACAAAAGCTAGAGAACGGACATTGTATTAGCCAAGTTTACAATCAGATATCGGAATATGAAATATAACGTCAGTCACGTATAGGACATTTGATTTTTCGCACTAAAACATTAACAAGTTTAAAAAGAAAATGGAAAAATGCAAGCGACGAATGGGCCGAAATTCACTTGTCTATTATTGCGGAAATCTAGTCACATGGTTACATCAAATGTACACAACAGATTTTGTGAGACCAAGAAACATGTGAAGTAGGAAGAAAAAGGCCAATCGCCGTTGTTTCACAGCACTTTGAATGAAAATGCAAAATATTTATTAATTCTTGCCACCTAAGTTTTGACAGAGCCAATCCAAACCCTCAAACAAACCAGAACTGTTTGTGGCACATGTTCCTTGAATATACCATGTACGGTTTCGTAATTGATGTAGTCCTAATTTATCTGTAAGCTCAGTAGGCTTTAAAGCATTTGGTAGATCCTAAAAGTCATTTTAATTTTTGAGAATATAAACCATACTTGTTTGTTTGCGAAGACCAAAAGAAGTGTATCTCGTAACTCGTCCTCTTGTAACATACGGAACAACTCGTCTTTTGCTTCCCCAATGCGATCAGTGTCATTACTGTCAACCACGAATATTAAACCTATGGAATGTAAGCCCCAACTTTAAATAGTATTACCTTGAGTGTTTTGGAAATAATGTCTCCATAAGGGACGTATTTTATCTTGACCACCGACATCCCACACCGTAAAACTGATATTTCTATATTCCACAGTTTCAACATTGAATCCAATTGTAGGGATAGTCGTAACAACTTCTCCAAGTTTTAACCTGTACAATATTGTTGTCTTGCCAGCAGCATCCAGACCAACCATCAGGATACGAACTTCCTTTTTGCCAAACAGACGACTGAACAAATTTGAAAAAACCCCACCCATATTAACTGGAGATAATTCCTAGAATGTTATGACCTAAGTGCCTTACGTCACTGGGGATTGAAATAACCACACTACTTTTTGTATGGAAGTACCAGCCAAACAAAGTAGTCTAACAAAGTTATTTCAAATCACAGAATATTAGTTAACAAAGTTCTCATATCCTCATGATTATTTAATTTTAAGTGTTCCAATACGAGAAATTTCATTAGCTTAACTCAAAGTTAATGCTCAACCTCGAACCATAATTTTCAAGTGAATGTAGTTACAAAACTGACCTCCTGATCCATGCCACCTCACATATCAGTCGAGATATTATTGTAAGCTTGAGTTCTTTCATTTTGTTCAAGGTATGCATCTCAACTCTTTGGAAGGGTTAGGTATTATCATAGTGGAGTGAAGTTTCCAAATTATTAAATACGCCATCAAGCTAATGTATAATTAGTCATCTTGTCCTGGATAATTCTCCCTTTAAAAGGTTCTCGAGATAACTGTTTGCAGACAGTATTTGTCAGAGTTGTTGCTACATTCAGAGTGAAACCACACTATCTACCATTGTTTCATGAGTCATTTTGTAAGCACACTGTCTTGCTTCGCTGAGGCGCAAAACATTCAGTAACAGTCCATATGGTCCTTGAAATTACAGATGGGTAGCTGAGTGTTTAGTATTCATATTACATACATACCAGACAGACACACTCTAGTTAGTATACTCTCTATCTGTTGCAAGACTCCTCAGACATTTAGGTCGTCTGTTTACCTATATTTGGGTTAATCTAAGCAACTCAGAAATCACCTGACATGATAATAGCCATCCTCTAATAACCTTCATACCTTCCTAAAAAATTCGAACTCGTAAATGAAACGTAAAACCAGCCTTGCAACTGATTACAATCCTGAAACTAATTTCCTCGACAGGTTACAACTGACTAAGGCTTCTACTTACTTAATTCTGATATCTTAAGTGAAAGTATAGCAACTCAAGCAGGCCGAAAGGGGCTCGCTATTCTAAAAAATCCAAGGAAGCCAGACCACTAAGGACTAGTTTTATACTTAGCAAATCCTAACTAAACTCGAGTCTTAAGGAGCTTGCGACACTTTTGCACTTATTACTTATATCGTAGTGTGTAGCACTTGCGATCAAAACCCCTGAGTTTAGAAAGTTGGTATGCGACATACACTCGAATGTAATTGGTCTCTAGAGAAATTCTACAGAACCTTTTATCTCATTGAAAAGGGAGACTTCGAATTAATACCCTGGCTAAAAAATCATCATCCGATTGACACGAACTAATTACAGAATCTTCAGATTATCCAAATAATCACTTCAGGTCATCTCAATCATACCTTTTCTTGACAAGTCAGCTTGACTCCGAAATTAGTTAAAAAGTCTCCTGTGCTTGCAAAAGACCTTATACGAAAAGAGCCTCAGCATCATATTCTCTTACGCAATCTCTTGAAGTCTGTTTAAAGAAATCCTATGAAAAATCTTCCTGCACTAAAACGACAACCCAAATTTTGTTCCTAGGAACCTTTTCATTCGAAACCAGTTCAGTATTGAAGGATCGGGAAAATATGCTCTTAACCGTCTTTAACTTAAAAGATTTAAACTTCACGTTTGCACCAAACTTTACATCAGAAAACATCTAATTACAATAGAACATGAAGGAGCTCAAACAGAAATCTTTGTAAGCCATAAAGTTATTAGAATAAACTAACTGGAACTTTACCGGAGCTAAAAAATATGGGATCTTCTGAATCGTCTATGATTCCCAGACGATTAGATTGGATACTGAAAAGGGTTAATGTGAGTGTTCTTACACGATCACAATGATTGATAACCTCTGGTTCGTCGTACGCCCCATGTCCAGCAGGAGCATAAAAGTTCACATCACAACATGATAAAGAACTACAACTAAAACGTAGATTTTACGCAACAAATGATTTGTCATTTTAACAAATATATTTGAAAATAAAGTTTGAAGGTTGAGAATGCTGAAAATTAGTGAATACAAAATCTTCAGTAGGGCGAGAAAACAACAAAGATATTATAGAGTGGTGTGTAATTGAGCTTGACTATGAACACCGCTACAAGACTACGTGCCAATTAACAAATAATATCGCCGTAGGCCAATATCAGAAGGCAGATGATGGCTGTAGTCGAGATGTATTTGTTGGCGATCTCATGGTATCGAAAGAATACCGAGATCATACCAAAGGAGTACAAGCGTGGTTACTGAGCGCAACCGAATTCGTACAAGTTCAAAGTCAACGGTAGAGTGAGTGTAATGGCTGTCATTAGCATAGTTAAACAAACAAGCACAGTAAAACAGTCACTGGTAGAATTGGTTATAATAATAATCGTTTTCATTGAACCAATCGCGTCCTGTCGACAAAAGTAGGTCACTACAGGAGCCCCCCGCTAGAAAGGGTTTAGCATTGAGTCTCAAGTTGTCGGGTGGGGCACTGTCATCGATGTGTGCTGGCTTGAAACTATCAATGCTGACGATCTCGACGCGGCCATGTCGATCAACCTTGAAGGTCTTTTCGTGACGAGAGATCACGTGAAAAGGGCCTTCGTAAGGCTGTTGTAATGGTTTGCGTACCAAATCTACTCGTATGAAAACATGTGAACAGGTAGATAACTCTCGAGGGAGAGCGACCTGTCGATGTTGTATTCGAGTTGACACCGGAGACAGCGTTCGCATAAATGCAGACAGTCGATGGACGTAGTCTGATTTACCGAAATCATTACTGCTCCGTGGTGTGAAGAATTCCCCAGGCAGACGCAATGTCGTGCCGTATACAAGTTCAGCGGCGGAACATTGAATATCTGCCTTCAAAATCGTTCCGATGCCTAAGATAACGAGAGGTAAGTTTTCGTACCAATTGACGTTTTCGTGTGCTCGAAGAGCACTTTAAAGTTGGCGATGAAACCTTTCGACTAACCATTCGATGCTGGATGGTAGGCGGTGGTGCATATGCCTTCCGTACCAAGCAGCCGGGTCAGTGAGGAGAATAATGCGGACTCAAATTGTTGTCCTCGGTCAGTCGTGACAGTCGAGGGACAACCGTACAATGCTATCCATCGTTCTACGAAGCGGTGAGCGACTGTCTCCGCCGTGATAGACGTGATGGGAATAGCTTCGGGCCATCTTGTAAAACGGTCAATGCACGTGAGTACGTGGTCGTACCCATGCGATGGTGGCAATGGTCCTACAATATCTATATGAACGTGATCAAAGCGAGCATCAGGCGTAGCGAACGTGCCAATGGGGGCAGCTACGTGCCTGTGCACTTTTGATCGTTGACACTGTAAGCATTGCTTTACCCACATACGAACATCTTTATTCATGGACGGCCAGACGTATCGTGCAGCGATGAGACGTAATGTGGCTGCGATACCTGGATGAGACAATCCATGAAGGGCATCAAAGACGAGACGGCGATAGGCAGAAGGTACGATGGGTGGAGGAAGACCAGCAGAAGTATCACATAGGATAGTACCTGAGCTAGTAGCTAGGGGTACTTCCTGACACCGAAGGGACGAAGATTGTGGTGCTTCTGTACAGACAGGATCGTTTGCTTGCGCGGCGGCCATAGCAGGAAGATCGAGCACCGGTAAGGTAACTACATTCGTCTGGATACGTGAAAGAGCATCGGCAACATATTTCGACTCGCCTTTAATATGACGAAGGTCTGTCGTGAACTGGGAGATATAGTCCGAATGTCTTCACTCTCGTGGTGAGTAGCGGTCAGACTTGGTATGCAGGGCATATGTTAAGGGCTAATGGTCGGTGAATAAGATGAGTTGGCGTCCTTCTACTGCGTGCCGGAAATGTTTGATGGCGCAGTAGGCTGCAAGCAGTTCGCGACCAAAAGTGCTATATCTCGTCTCCGTGGGAGTAAGGCGTCGTGAGAAAAATTCAAGTGGTTGCTAACTACCGGAGATATTCTGATGCATCAATCGCTATACTAAGCGTGGCTGATGGGTCAGGATGAGCGAGAAGTGTAACTTCAGCGAGAGCCATTTTGATCTCTGAAAATGCAGTACGTGCGGTATCGTTCAATTCTAATTTGCATGGATTACCGCGTAGTAAATCGGTCAATGGTCGTAACCGTTCTGCCGCGTGAGGGATAAAACGTCGGTAGAAGTTAACCAAAGCGGGAAAAGCCTCCAGTTTCTTGATTGAGGACGGCACGTTGTACTCCTTGACTGCTCGAACTTTGTCCTCGCAAGGCAGAATACCCTCTTGTCTGATGATGTGGCCCAGAAATATTATTTCTGATTTACCCAATTCACATTTCTCTGGGTTGACTACTATTCCATTATCCGAAAGACGTTGGAATAATAGCGTAAGATGTTGATAATGTTCATCTACGTTTGATGATGTGATTAGCAGGTCATCAATATGGACGTGAACAAAATCCAAGTCTCGTACTATGCTATCGATAAACCTTTGGAAAGTTTGAGCAGCATTCCGTAATCCAAATGGCATTCGTATTAACTCAAACAGAACGAAAGGAGTCGTGATAGCAGTTTTTTCGATGTCTTCAAGAGCGACTGGGATCTGGTAATATGCTCGTAACAGATCGATCTTAGAAAGGTAGTCGTGCCCTTGAGCGATGCCGTGATGTCGTGTATGTGGGGGATGGGGTAGCTATCAAAGCGCGTAACTACGTTTAATGCTCGGTAGTCGCCGCATGGTCTCCAACTAACCCCATCCTTTTTGAGCACCATATGAAGAGGAGAAACCAAGGGACTGTGAGAAGGACGAATAATACCAGCAGATAGTAAATTGTCAAACTCACGTTTAGTGAAGGCTAATTTGTCCGGTGCCAGTCAGCCATGTATTGTTGTGACTGGTGGTCCGCGGGTGACTATGTGGTATACCACACGATTGGTCACCGATGAAATCTCATCGAGTGGTTTAGTTATTCTGGGGAATTTCCCGAATAAAGCGTGGAATTTATCGTCACGCGAATAAAAAGTGCCGAGGATT